AAAAAAAAAAAAAAAAAAAAAAAGAGTACTGGGATGACAGGTGTGTTCTACCACACAGCTTTTTCTTTTTTGACTCCCTGTGGTTCTAAGGATGCTCCTACAGTAAACAAGACAGACAGCTCAGCAAGCAGGGGAAAGGCTCAAGAGAAATAAGAACTATTAGGGCCAGCCAAATAGCTCAGCAGATTAAAACATCTGCAAGCTGGCACAGGGGCCGGGGGTTTGAAGGGAAATGATTCCAAAAGCACAGACAACAAAGCAAAAACAAACAAGTGAAACTGCGTAAAACTAAGTATCTTTTGCACAGTAAAGAAAAGTAAAAAAAAAAAAAAGTAAAGTCAATAAAATGAAAAGGTAAACTACAAAATAGGAAAAAATATTTGTAAAACACACACCCAACAAGGTACTAATAGCCAAATATATTAAAAACATATACAAGTCAATAGCAGGAAAAAAAAAGATTAAAAAATAGGTAAAGGGTGTCAATGAACATTTTTCCAAAAAAGATATTCATAAACCCTAAGGGGTTTTGACTGACCTTATCAGATCCAAAAGCTACAACTCTTGTTGCATGGTCTTGCTTTATCTTGGTCTTAAACATTCAATAGAAAAGTATAAAAACGAAGTATAAGAAGTAAAGCCATGGTGTTAAGTTGAGTTGTAGGGGACTCAGGTCAACAATTTCTGACATTGCCAGTGAAGTGGAAGACCCAGTACTATTATGGACTACTGGACTATTTTAGAATATTTTGCTGAGTTTACATACCTATAATATTCAAATAACAGAACTTAACAAAAAAAGGGGATACAGATGAATGTCCATTTTGTATCTATATATTCAAAGTGGTTAGGATAAATATATAGTTACATTCTCTTAACGAATAGAGTGGTTTGTTCTAATGGTGTTTGTAAATAGGATATCATGTCCGCATCTTATACAGCAAATAACCACTGGGAAGAGAGTATGCAATGTGTCCTACCAATTTGATTTGAAACTGTCTCACTGCTATTTGTTTCTCAATAAAATTATGGAAAAAAAAAGAAAGAAGGGATCAGGTTCCAATACACTTCTTTGAGGACTCCCACTATTGGTGGGAGTGTAGACTGGTACAACCACTATGGAAATCAGTGTGGAGATTCCTCAAAAAAAGAAGATAGGAGATCCCATTTGACCCAGCTATTCCCCTTCTGGGCATCTTCTCAGAAGAATTAAAAACATCATACTGGGGCCAGCACTTAGGCAAGCTGGGATCAAACCCCAGTCCCACATGCCACACTGGTGCTGGCCCATCCCTGGGCATGCTGAACTGCCAGAGTTCAGGTGTGGTGGCGCACACCTGTAATCCCAGTGTTGGGGAGGCTGAAAACAGGAGGATCAATATGAGTCTGAGCTGCGTAGTGAGACCCTGTACCAAATACATTAAAAAAAAAAATCATACCACAATGTGCATCCATGTTTATAGCAGCATAATTTGTAATAGCTAGATCTTGAAACAACCCAAATGCCCATAAACCAGGAATGGATAAAAATGATGTGGTCTTTTTATACAATGTAGTACTACTCCGCCATTAAGAAAGATAAACTGGAGGACTTTTATAGGTAAATGGATGCAACCCAAGACTATACTCATAAGTGAAATAAACCAGATGCACATTTGTAACATTATAGTGTCTCCCTAGTATGTGAAGCTGAAAGAGTAAATAAGATCCAAAATGTACAATAGATACTATATAAT